GTTTGCTTCTCCAGGACACCTCTCTTCACATAAAACCTAGCTGGGTGTCTATCACATTGTGCATGCATGCATGCTAAGTTGCTCAGTCGTGCATGATTTTGTGCAACCCTTTGGACTGCAGCCTGCCAGGCTCCTCTGTCCATGAGATTCTCTAGGCAAGAATACTGCAGTGGGTTGCTGGGCCCTCCTCCAGGGGATCTTCCTGACACAGGGATCAAACCTGTGTCTCTTAGTCTACCTGCATTGGCAAGCAGTTTCTTTACCACTAGTGCCACCTGGGAAGCCCCTATCACATAGTAAGCACCCAATAAATGTTTTGTGAACTGACATGAAGATGAACTTTTATGGGGCACAACTCTACACCTCAGTTCTTGATTATTCACAAGTGAGTCCAGGGCAAACTCTTAATCCAGATTGGTTTTTTTTGCTGTAGCCTAGGCTGCCTCTGAGCCTCCACCCTACACCTTAAAACGATTGGGTGTACAGTGGTAGCAAGCAGATTTTAATATTGTTTTAAGCAACAAAAGTCTGTTGTTTTTAATTTGACAATTGAAAGGTATATTTTTATTTTGTTAAAGTCTACAATCAATTATTTTTGCTTGCGGCTGCCTTCTGTTAATATAGATCATGAGACTTTTATGTATTAAAATTCTTTGTTCACTAATCAATTTGTTGTTTCTAGTATACCTAATGAACTCTAGTCATCATGGCCCCCGTTTAGAGATCAGTTTTTTAAAAAATTGTTCTCTTCTAACTCCTAAAGCTTTCCTTGACCCTTCCTATTAGTCAATATTAGTGAGGGTTTTTTTCCCCTTCTTTAAAAAAAGAACAGCTTTCCCCATTTTCGTGAGAGGAAAAAAAGAAATGTCCTTGAGGGGATAGGATGTTCTAGTTTAATTTTCACTTGCTTCAGTGGCCTTTCCTATTATTTTTGCTGAAGAGCAGGGCAGTTTCTTTGACTCTTCAACTTGCATTTGGCCAAGTAAAAGTAAATTAATATATGAAGATAATGTTTCTTGAACAGAGCAGTCGTACAAACCACCCCTCCATGGTACCTTCTTTCAGTGTTCTGCCAGTCATTTTTTCTCCCTAACAGCTATCTTTCCAGGTGAAGACACCCTTTTCCATCTTCTCCCCTTCCTCTAGCCCCAGCTTTTGATAGCTGCACCTGCTTAGGCAATCATTTAATCATTTTGAAATGAACAAAACAAAAGAGATGGTGGGTTTGCTGATCCCTCTCCACAGCATGAAAGGTATGGGAATCTGTAAAAAGACTTCTCATCACCAGAAAAAAGAGCCATTTTTAGATCCCCTCCAACCCCCCCATGTAAAGGTGTGCTTGTGTGTGTGTCACTGTTTTGCAACTGCCTTAAAGTACAAAGTGACAGGTTTTTATGAAATATGAATTAGAATTATGTTAAATAATTTTTTAAAAAGTCACTTTCTCAGAATCTTCTCAGACCTATATTCTTGAGCTTATTTATTCAGCAAACATTTTTTGAATGCCCACAAAGTATCAAGCACCATGATAGGTGCTGCAAAGACTGAGGTTTTTTGAACCACATTTACTCTGCCTTCACAAAGCTCACAGTCTCATGCACAGATGAATGTAAGTATGATGAGAGTGTGATAAAGGTATACTGAAAGTGGAGTGGTTTCCAAGGTTAATTTCAAATTAATCTAGAAACTCTGAGTGAGTGACCACACCATATCACTTCAGAAGCATAAATAGTCAGACATTTAGGAGAAAACTTCTACATAAAAGTAAAGCCCTTTGTCCAGGGAATAATAGTAAAGTTTTTAATCTGAAGAAATTTTATTTCTTTTTATAATGAAAGGACAGTATAGATTTACTTAAAACTGGTCCCCAAACCATGTATTTCAGAGAGCTATTTTGCTTGTTTCTGGATAATAAGATTTTAAGGATAAATTATATGCAAGTCATATATATTGTCTTGGTAAAGTAAAACATATTTATTCTTCTAAAAATCATTCTTCAGCATCAGAGATGTTGACCCTCTCATCTTCATTTGTAAATCATATTCAGTGGTGCTTAACTGCATAAAATAGAAAATTGACCCTCTCCAGTATTGATCTTAAAATGTGTTCAGATCGGAAACTCTGGGAGGCAGGTACAGTTGTTCTCAAAGGGGCTGTTGCTTGAAGGGGTGATACAACCAACAGAATACAAACCCAATAAAGCTGATAGTTTAATCTGTTCTTACTTGCTTTTCAAGTCACATTGCCCTAGTTTTAAAATTGCATTATTATTTAAGTTGTCTGTAGAATTTTGAACTTTAAACAATGGTGTTGAATATTTTAAAATTTATCCCTGTTCTCTTGAAGTGCATATCCACTGTTAGACGAAAATACTGCCTCATCCTGTGGTCTCTCACATATTTGGAGACTTTTAATGTTTGTGATCTCTGTTATGAAGCTACTACAGGAACAAAGAGTTCTTTTATAAAATTTAAAATGGGGAAGAACACAAGGGATTAAACTTTTAATATTATTTATTAAAGTAGATTAAAATTTTGGACCTATTCTCTCAGACTAAGTTCTAAAATAGCATTATTTTTTAAATATGCCATTGTGGGTTATATAATTTGCTACATGTCAACTAAAATCACTGATTTTATATTTTAATTTTTCCAGTGTATTTCAGTATCCTAGAGTTTAAAAACTTAGCTAATATGATGTGACTTTTAATTTGATAAGCAGAGTCCTAACCTACAAGTGTTAATTTTTATCTGAGAGAAAATTATTAGAAAATCACAGAAAACTAATATTAGAGTTATACTTATTTGCACATGAATGTGTTCTGTTTTATTCTGTTATGTGAATGGTGTGGATTCTAGTGTCACTGGTTAACTTTGTAAATCAAGTTATTAAAATTTGAAATTTAGCTGCTGCCACAGCGTTGAAGAGCTCCCTCTCAGTAATTGTACTTAGTTAACTGATACCAAAACTCTGACCTGTAAAACCACAGGTTTCTGCTGAGCCTATCTCTTCTGATTGTTGGCATTTAGAAGTTTATTGCTTTTCTGGGATTATAATATTAAGTAAGGTTGATTTTGGAGTTAATATTCAGAATAAATATTTATTAATAAATAATCTGAATGGCATTAGATCTCAGGGCCTTCATCTTTAGAACCGTAAACCTAGGTGCATATATCCTGCACTAATATATCTTTGCCCAGTGAAATAAGAGTTTAGATTCCCAAGGAAATAATAAGAAAATTTTAAGTTGACCTATCAAGTACTTTTTTTTACAAATTTCAAAAATATGGGTTGAGATGCATTCTTAATCTATAGTACCATCTAATAGAATTTTCTGCAATGATAGAAATTATTTATATCTGCAGTGTTCAATATGGTAGACATAGTTAGTGGCTAGCTTGAAACATAACTGGTATAACTTAGAAACTGAATTTTACATTTTATTTAATTCAAATATTCATGTGACTAAAGCCTATCTTATTGGACAGCACAGAGGTAGAACACCCCTCAAATTTTATATATATGCCTTCAGTGGCATTAAAGGTACTTTCATTATTTGAAAGCAAAATAGGCCACAATATAGTAATTCTGGAAAAAAAATCTAAATATAGATGTAATGGTAGATATCCTCGCAACATTCTGAAGCATTCTAACTTTATAAAAGGGAAAAGAAAATTAGCCCAATGATAAATTTAATCATGACTCTTCTCTTTTACTTAGAAACCTGGGTGTAAAATTTAATTTTCCTCAAGGAATTTATATGTTTTGACTTATCAACATTTTACACTATATAATAAAATTTTGTGTTTTTTTAAACCTCTTTATAATTTTATTTCCTGAAGAAAGAAAGAGCAATTATAAAAGATTCCAAATAGTCGGAGACAGAATGCAAAACTGACTTCTCACAATGGTTTCTCCTAAAACCCCAGGGCAAAAAGAGAATTAATTTCTCCTTCCCCGTCCTGAACATGTACTATTTGAAAATCCCCCATGGTTGTACATGTTTCTGAGTTATTACTTATTATAGTATTTTTTTTCTGAAAGGTTAGTGCTACTTACTGACTGACCACTTCATCTTTTATAGAGCAAAGCATCGCCCTTTGAAAGCATTTTCCCCTTTAAAAGTCATTTCAATGGCATTTAAGAAACATCCATTATTATCCTTCCAGGGAATGTTATTTTTCACTGGGCATTACAATAAGATTAATCATCTCTGCCTGCCAAGAAGCACAGACTTGATTAAATCAGTCAAGGGCATTAAATTCCAGCTATACTCACTCTTGTGACCATACCGATACAGAGTTGAGGAAGAATTTGTGAAAGTATCATTTGGCTAAAATTGTATGCCTGTCTCTTTAAATCTAAAAAAAAAAAAATCCTTTCAGAAGCTGTAGAGAGAAGGTGCTAGAACTGTGTACGATCATGACTGGAAAGCAGGATCCCTCAGTGACTGCTGAATCTTCCCAGCACAAGATAGAGAGGCAGTTCAGCACAAGCCTACACTGGTTCTAGGCAGAACGATGATCCTACCGAACAGATTTCAAATAAAATTAAATTGAGAAAGCAGATCTTTCAAGGGAATGAGGCGGAGGCTCGCTTTTATGTTAAAAGCCACCAGCATCCTCCTTGTTAGACATGGACATGACATTTTTAAAGGAATTATTTGGTTACAGCGTTTTAAGCAAACTGTTCTAAGGAGTCTGTACATTACCTTGTTTTTTCTATTCTTTTTTTCTTTTGCATATATGTAATTCTGGAGGTAAAGAAAAAGCCTGCCAGGGATTCAGAAGGCATCCCACTAGCGATCAGCTGACATTCCTAACTGAAGGCTGCAATGTGTTGCTTATTCATTTTGTACCGTGGGAGCTGCGGGGACTAGCAGAGAGCTAAACTATGCATTTCAAACAGCAGTGCTTGTGCAGAAAGAGGGGTGAGAGAGAGGCAGCCGGCGAGGAAAGAGCACAGCTGGACTTTCTCCTTGTTTTTATCCATTTCTGCAGGATCATGTATTCATAAGGGATGAGGCGGGCCACGGCGATCCCAGGCCTGAGCCGCGGCCTACCCAGTCAGTTCAGAGCCAGGCCCTCCACTACCGGAACAGAGAGCGCTTTGCCACGATCAAATCAGCATCTTTGGTAAGCAAACACCCCTCTACCCACCTTCCCTTCCTTCCCCTCCTCCCCATCTGGCAGCCTCTCGCCCTCCCTGAGCCTCTCTCGGCTTCATGGATGGGAGGAAAGGAGTCAAGAATGTTTTCTCCCTCCTAATAATTTTATTCATTTTAGAAAAAATCTGTTGGCATAGCAACCTGATCTCAGATATTTTAGCATTGTCTATGGCATGGGAAAAAAAACCCTTTGTGTGTGTGTGTGTGTGTGTGTGTATTTATATATGCTGTGTGTGCAAAATAAAAGGCCTTTGAGATGAAGTTGCTAGTGTGTCCAGTTTTGTAAAAGCTGTTTGTCTTTTCATTGAAATAATAATGCTAAAAAAATATTTTAAAGGTATTGGATGTGTGTGTATGCAGGGCACTATGCTCCTTTTTGTATAGATGCATGTGTGTTTATAATGTGTACACACACATCAAAAGATAAAACAATTTAAATATATATATGGTTGCTGGCTAACATATATAATTGTAGGAAATAAGATACTTGCTTCCCAGGGATGGATTGCCGGTTCGTTCTGGTTCATTCATTTATTTATTGCAACAATGGTAGTGGCTGCACTTCCCCATTTAACCCCTGAAGAATTCCCTGGCACCCGTAGAGCAAGAAGGGCTTTGTAAGAGAGGGTCGGGATGGTTGCGGGAGCAAAGATACTATAGGATCCTTCAGCATTTTTACTATTGCAAATGTGATTGCTGGATGCCCTTGTAGTAGCAAAAGGGGTGTGTGCTGGAAGAGTTAGTTTTCATGCCTCCTCCCCTCGGCCCCCCCACGCGTGCGCGTGCGCACTCACAGTCACACACACACACACACACACACACACACACACACACACTCACATCGTTTCATCCTTGGCACTCTAAACTCTCTTTAATCTTTTGCTTCCAAATCTCATTTCTCAGCCAAAAAAATTATTGAAATATTAGCTGTTTTGCCTGAATTAATGTTAGAGGTCACATGGGCAGGAAGAGTTAGTGTACGCTGCCCAGCTATTACATTTAGAACCTATGATGACATCATCCGAGGCCGACCCAGAAATGATGATTTTTTTCTTGTCCTATTTTTAAAATTTGATTTCCACTTTTATTTCTCAAGTGTTTTAAAAGGCTTCATTTATCTTTGAGATTGATAATGGATTGTAATTTTGAAAAATCCAAAATATAAGGAAAATGGAAGTTAAAGCACCTACATATTGATATGCCTGCTGCTGTCTAAAAGCAAGCAATTTAATTTAGGCTGCTTATAAATAAGCCTGCCTTTAAGTTCCTTTGTATAGAAGTTTCCTGCATTCTCTTTAGTGAGCAATTTTTCATTTTAAATGCATGCCGTACTGTGTAATGGAGATCTTAAAATGTCCACTCTGTATTTGCGAGTAATTGTTTAAGCCAACTCTAAAACATGCTTTGAGTCTAAATAAAGTATCATGAAATTATTAAAGAATAAATACCTTCATACCATGATACATGATAAAAGAAGAAATATGGTATGTTTGGAATATGACTACTTACCACTGACTCTTGTGAGACTTGTACCTTTATCCATACTCGTGCATATTGAAATGAGAGGAGAAATGAACAGCCTTTGAGATTCAGAGCCCCATAAGCAGGTTTTGAATATTTGAGGCAGACATTGTGGGTTTTCCCTCTCTGGGACAGGTTCTCTTCTGTCAACTTGCCACACCCTCATTCCCACATCATATATTCATGACCTCTCCTGCCGCCAAGGAAGATCACTACTGCCATGCCAGAATGATCTCACACTTGCATTTGTGGACTCACCCAGGGCTACTCTCTGTGTACATCAGCCATCAATCTCCCTCACTGTGGATGATGAAAGCTGCTTCCCTGCTAGGCCATCTCAGGGCCACAGGCAGAGTCCTTAGGAACCCTTCTGAATCCTGCAGACTTCCTAGTGCTCATTCAGGGATCAGTCTATCTGATGGACTTTTGATTTGCTAGAAGGCCCTTGCACCTGCATTGTGGAGACAGAGTGGCTGATAGGCTGTTTCTGTAGTCACAGAATAAGTTGGTTTATGTGTAAAATCTTCTGCAAATGTGATCATTTGGAAGTCAAAGTGGGATTGACGCAAGTTTATTAGAATTCAGTGGTATTTGTATTTAATGGATTTTAGGGAGAAAAAAATTAATGAAGGGAAAAGTAGTATGGTGTTGAGTTGTCCCTTGTCCCATTTTGGACAATCTAACTATTAGTATGGCTATTTTAATGTATATTATCGATTACTACAGTTCCGCTATCCATTATATTATTTTAAAGGCTAATTCCAATAGGAATATATAAATCAGGATACTAGAACATCAAAAGGAATATCTAATTTTTAAAAACTTATCTCACACCTTATTATTTTTGTGGATCCCTACGCAAATGAGAAAGTCTAAAATTCCTTAAAATGAGATAAAATTAAAGACAAGATCATGGAAAAATGAAAGACTGGGGTTTAAATAATCAAGTCACTGTTGAAACTTCACTTCTCATAGTTAGTAAAAATACTATACTGATTTATTTATTTTGGTCTTACTCTTTCTTTATAGCATTCTAGCAGAAGTGTTAGCAAGCCATAGAGTGATCTAAAAGTGAACAGCAAAAAGAAAAAGAATTTAGAAATTAGTTTTTCAGTTACTAGATAAATGAGTGATGTCTGTTTTAAAGAGACTTGCAAACAGATAAAAAAAAGTAATTGCAATTCCTCAAATTTGTTTTGTCAGCCTGCCTCTTCTGTATAAACTTGTAAGAGGCCTAGCTCTGTGGTTTTTCCCCTTAGCATTTCTTTCTACATTGTGCTTTTGAATGGGGCTGTTGACAAATATATTAAGCCAGGGATCTACAGGCTTTTACTACTAGATATTTTTATTATTTTGGCACCTTAAAACTGAGATTTTTTTTTTTACATTATCATGGACTGTTGCACAATTACATTTGTAACAAAGGACCTTGATCAGAGTAAACTCTAAAGAAACTTTACTGATATATATACATATATATGTATGTATGTATGTAATTTAAGAGCAGAGGTTATTCACCTTATTTTGAAAAATTAGAAGGAAGGACATTTAATAGAATCTCTTTTATTTTATCCTTTCTTTTTCTTTTTCTGTAAGAAAGTTCATACTGGGCTGATTTGTTATCTGAAGAAAGGAGTTATTTATATAGTTCTTCAGAATTACTCATCTGACTTCTTGGACTCTTGAGATGTGCTTTCCTTGAGTTTTTATTATTGGTGAATGGAGGCCCTAATATTTTAATTAGATTAGTGACCCATGCGTGTGTTTTCAGCTGTTGTTACATCTGATGTCATTTCTTAAAATTTCATAAGGTCCTGGGTCCCTGGCAGTTCCCAAGTAGATGTTACTGTAGAGAGCACCAAGGCCATTCTATAAGATAGTTCAGCCTCTGTCTGGCCTTGTAAAGGAATTCTCACTAGAATGCAGTGGTCTTGCTTATATGTGTGGATTTATGTTAGAATGCAAATTAGGGAGAGGGGCATGAAACTCTTAATTTCTTATCTCCAGGAAAGCATGTAAGAGAAAAATGATTATTGTTCTATCCATTTAAATATAGATTCTTTTACTTTGATTTTACCAGATTCAATAGAAAAGCTCATATAAAAATGAAATCTTCACTTGATTTTTAAAAATGCAACCTAATCATTGAGCTGACTGTGAAATTGTATACCTGAATGAGTTTGATAGACAAGCATAAAAATACTAGAACCTCAGCATAAATGTACCAGAGGCTGCTTATCAAAATATTGCACATCTCCTCTTTTCCTTTTTCTTGGTTTTTTAATCTCACTAAGATCATTGCTGATACTATTTTTCACTTGTGCTACCGCCCAACTCACATGATCATAGTCTCTCAATAAAAGTGTTGAATGAATGAATGAATGAATGAAGTCTCTTCCAGTCGTCTTATCACAGGAGAATTTGTATTTATAAGTGTGCATTTCAGAGCTCCTCTTGTCAGTTTTTCTGTATAAGGCAGAATTGCCTGTGATCAGTCATTACTTTAGTATGAATTTGAAACATTTTTTTCCCTAGGTGTTATAAAGAGTGGAATGACAAATTTCTGATGCCAGTATGTGACTCATTCTATTCTTTTTAAGAACTTGCTATAAAGTTCATTTGTTTTAAGTGCTGAGGTGGCCAGTTTTATTATATATGTTATTTTGATTCTTCCACATAATTAATCTTGTAAGTTGGCTTTGATCTCTTAAGAGGGTAACATTATCAGCCACCATACTCCTCTTTTATCTTTAGTAAGTTGTTTATTAGCCTCCTAGTGCAATGTTCTGTACTTGGGATAGGCATAAAGTACACTTAGGATGAAGTGGTTTGTTTTAGGGCCAAATTTTGCTGGAATAAGTAGGGTAGAAAGCAATGGCTACAGAAACTTTCTGAAAAAAGTTCAGTCTTCATTTATGGTTTTTTATTTTTATATGTTATTCCAGATACATGAAATAGCTAATTCAGAGTCAGAAATTATATATACTTATAATCTACAACCTGGATACAGGTACAGTTTTATTGTTAAATTTGTCCTTTCTCTTGGATCCACTTCTTTTTTTTAATTTTTTTTTTGGAAGATAATTGCTTTACATTATTGTGCTGGTTTCTGCCATGCATCAGCATGAATCATCCATAGGTGTACATGTTTCCCCTCACTCCTGAACCTTCCTGCCTCCTCCCACCCTACCCCACCCCTCTGGGTTGTCGAAGAGACCCGGTTGAGCTCTGTGTCACACAGCAAATTTGGATTCACTTCTATACTGTGTCTCCATCACCAGAAATCCTGAGGAGAAAAAAAAATTACTCTTAGTTTGGCAGAAGAAGGAAACCAACATATATTCAACATCTCCTATGTGTCAGACACCTTGCTAGGCACAAGTGTTATCTCATCATCAGAGTAGTTCCCCATTACAAATGAAGATATTGTTAGACTTCAAGAATTTATGTAATTTGCCCAAGATCAGTTATTTAGGGAGGGATGGAATGAGATTTATCTCCCAGAAATCTATTTAATATGGTAAGATGATACTACCCATTTTTTCGTTGATCACATTTTTGAGGCTATCATTGTAAAAACCAGTCGATTACATTTTGATAACTTTTTCAAATCTTCAGAGTTATTCAGTTTGTAGTTTAGACTTACCTTTCTTTCCAGCTGTCTTTTAGGTGTTTGGTTCCCTCCATTACTTCATAACAGAAAGTATCATTTCTTCTCTGCCTTGGTGATATGAATTTCCTCAGTCAATTCAAGAGCCTAGGACCTTAGTTCAAATCCCAGGCTTTATGAAAATTAAAGAAATAAATTACATGTGAAAGCACATTGTGTAAACAATAACGCATGATTAAAATTATGAGCTATTTTTAATTGTTGACTAGAGAGTGTATTCGTAAAACACAAAGTATAAACTTAAAACATACTGAATACATAACTATAATAATATAGTTTAATGTATTTCATGTTAGACTTGATAAATGAAATATCATTATACTTTTATTTAAATTCATCTATCTAGCTTGAGCATGGAACTCTAAAACTCTGTATCTCTAAATGTACCTGAAAAGACAATTACTTTGAAATTTAGAAATTATGGTTGTAACAAATGAAAGGTGACATTAGGAGTTTAAGAAAGTGATTATCCAAATTACGGGATGCATTCGCATTTACAAGCAAAATGTCTCCCCTGACATTCAGTGATGTACAATAACATGGTGAGCTTGTAATTTGTCTCTGCCACTTGCTTATATGATCTGGTATGTGGTAGGACCACCCTCTTCACAGGGACTCACCCACCAATTAGGATAGAAAATGTTCTTGACACAACTCATTTCCATTTTATCTTGAGGCTGCCTGGTTTAGGGAAGTGGCCATCCTGAGAATATTTTATTGACCACAAGCCAGTCAAACAATGTGCTGGCAAGTTTTAAATGTGTCATGATGGCTGTATGTAGAGTGTGCCACATCTCAACTTTGAGAATTTGATTAAGAAAGGGATGATCAAATAAAAAGAAAAATTTATGTGTGAAACATGTCTCAAGCTCATTACCCCGAAACAGACACTTTACTGCCATATTTGTCTGAAAAAGAAGTGAACATGAAAAGAACTAAATGGTATCCTTTCAGTTCATTGGAATTTTTTTCCTCTATAATTGAACTTCAGAAAGACACAAGAAAGTGAAACATATACATATATTTCAAACTAATTCTTCCTTTTATCATGAAATAGGTACATGTTAAAAAAAATAATGATGGCACAACAGATTATTTTCTTTAAAGTGTCAGGTGCCTCTTTGGTGATGTTATCCTGTTTTTTTGTTTGTTTTTTGGTCTTAAAACATCTTCCGCTCTTATTCTTTATTCTTAAAGAGTGTTGTCCTTTAGAAAAGAAAAATGAATATGAGAAACCTAGTGTTAGATTCAACTGGAAAGATTTCAGAGGTCGCCTTCTGTTTAATGGTGTACTTTGATAATGCTATCCAGTTACAGAACAGCACTCTCTTGATAATAAGGACTCAGTCAAGAATGCAGGGACACCTTCTAAAAAGAGCAAAGAAACAAACTGTCCTTTGTACAAAATGTACTTTGACCCATTAAATGAAAACAGTAGAGAGAATTAAGAACAGCATGAAAATTTCCAGTAAAACTTGTCTGCGGGTTAGGCTGGGGAGAAGTGTCTTATAGTAGTAGATTGGAATGACTGAATTATATAGTGTAAAACAAAATTAAAGTTATAATTATATAATTAAGACTTTCTACTAAATTAGGGAAGATTAGAGGGAAATGACCAGAGACTTTTAACAAGACAATAATGAGGGGTTGTAAATTGAAGAAAGGACTGCAAAATCAGAAAAGGTTTAATAGAAACAAGAGATGCTGAAATTTACACTTGCAATCTTTAGTTTGTTGGATAGTCACTTGAGAATGGGTTAAGGAAAAATTACTAAGAAAAATAGCCATCCCAAAATTACAGGAATCTTTTCTCCTCAGAGAGCAAGTGAATGTTTATATTTGTTAATATCTCTTTTGTGGGGAAGGGGAGGAAGGAGATAGATGATTTAAAAGGAAAGAGCTTGCTGTCACTCTCACTCAGTTCATATTAAGAATCAGAAATAAATCTCATTCAAACTATTTTAAAAGGATATTTAAAATGACTGTTAGAGACGTGATCTTTAAAAAGAAACAAATAAGCAGTATGCTATAGTGCAGTGCCTCCAAACCAGAGAGAGATGCCCACCAGGGGACATTTGGCAACGTCTACAGACATTTTTAATATTGTCTTGACTTGGGACGTGCTACTGGCATCTGTTGGGTCAGCCAGGGATGCTGCTAAACATCCTACAATGCACAAGACAGCCTCTCATAACCAAGAATTATCTGGCTCATTGTCAGTAGTACTGAGGTTGAAAGATGCTGGTGTAGTGGAAATAGCACGTGCTATTTCTGAAATCAGATAGAAATGGGTCTGCATCCCAGCTCTAATCCTTATTAGCTATATGACCATGAGGATATATATTGTGATATATCAAAACTATGTGAATATTTTTGGCTGAATGGATACATTAATTTCCTTAAGTCTCAATTTCTTCATCTATAAAATGGTGGTGGTAACAATACTTCATGAGTGAATAGAATGAACAAGTGAATGAGATGGTTTGTAAGATTAGAGATGACCCAACACAGTGCCTGGAACATGTGAGTGTTCAGGAAATAATAATTCAACTGATGCTGACGATGATAAATAAAATTCTACCAGAGGGTTCTTCTGCTTTGCCTGAATGTTCCTCTTCCACGAATCTGGTAACCTGAGTTCTGTTCCCCAACCCAAATCAGGTTACACGACAGATCCATGAGCATGAGCAGGAGAACGAGTTGCGGGAACAGATGTCAGGTTATAAGCGGATGCGGCGCCAGCACCAGAAGCAGCTGATCGCCCTGGAGAACAAGTTGAAGGCTGAGATGGACGAGCACCGCCTCAAGCTACAGAAGGAGGTGGAGACGCATGCCAACAACTCGTCCATCGAGCTGGAGAAGCTGGCCAAGAAGCAAGTGGCTATCATAGAAAAGGAGGTCAGTATACATACTCATGCCCTCGTGCCACAGCCAAGCCAAACCTGTCCCAGTCAGCCACATCCCGTGAGCAGGAGGCAAGTGTGATGTGCTTTTTGTTGATGGAGGAACAGGTTGCTTTGGGGAAGGGGGTCCAGGTTTGGTTGTTTTTTTTTAGTTCTACCACTTTATTGCTACCAACCCATCTCCCTCCACCCTCATGCACACATGCTCAGTCATGTAACCCCATGGACTGCAGCCCGCCAGGCTCCTCTGTTCATGGACTTTTCCAGGCAAGAATACTGGAGTGGGTTGCCATTTCCTTCTCCAGGGGGGTCCAGGTTTTATGAGGCTACTTAAATTTGCCATTAAAAGTTCAAATATTAATTGAAAGTATATATTGCATCCTTATCTATTCAAATGTATTCTGAGCATCAGTTCCCTGATGGAGGTGTGATACAAATAAAAAGAAACAAGTTGCTTCTATCCTATGGAAACTTGCACCTTTCAGGTCTGTTACTGTGCTTGCCTCACCCACAGTCCTCTTCAAAAGAAAAGTGCTCTACAAATAGTCCCTTTTTTGTGGTGATTGGCATACGAATGGGCACCTGACCAATGGCAGCAAATAGTTGATCTGGCTACTGTTGGGTCTTCTAGGAACATCTTTCTTCCCCATCCAGGTTCTAAACTAATTTTCAAAACAGACAAGATGGGGGACTACCCTGGTGGTCCATTGACTAAGACTCCATGCTCCCAATGCAATGGACCCAGGTTCAATCCCTGGTCAGGGAACTAGATCCCACGTGCTGCAACTAAAGGTCCCACATGCCACAACTTAAGACCTGGCACAGCCAAATAAATAAATAAATATATATATATATATATATTTTAAAGACAGGAGGGTAATGCAGATAGTCAAAATATCACTTTATTACCAGTAAATGTTAGAGAGTGATTTATATCTGAAAGGAAATGGGCCTAACAATCTCGAACAAAATTAAACATACTCACCCACCCAGGCACTGGCGGTACTAAACCAGTTGCCTTTCCCACCCTGATAAGACTTATTTAGTTACATAGTGTGGGAAAGCAGGGGTGAATTTGTGCTCTCTGGGAATGGAGTGACTGGGGACAGGGTGTCAGGGGTGCTTCAGTAATCAGGCTCACTAGCTCTCTCTCTCTCTCTACATGGGAGATAACATCAGAATTGTAGGATCATTCCCCCAAACAGCCATCAATCTAGAGGCAGTGTGTCATGAAAACCTCTGCCCAAATGGGTAATATTGATTAAATAAACCGGTCAGTCTTTATTGGGAATTAGATTTGGTAAATATGTGGAAAAAATTGTTCATAATGGAAAAACTATTCATAATAGAAGATAAAAGTGAAAAGATTCATAGAAAGAACCAAGAAGCATACTTCTCCCTCTGTTCTCTAAGTATATCATCTTACACGTGTGCTTCACCTATGGTTCCCTTAAGCTTAGATTTGGTCACTTTCAGGAGCCAGTATTGGTTGGGTTATCTTTTATTTGCTCTATTTTTTCCCTTCCAAGTACTAACCAGGCCCGACTCTGCTTAGCTTCCAAGATCAGATAAGATTGGGCGCATTCAGGCTTATATAGCCAAAGACTAGTCTATTTTCTATCCATCTAGGAGTCCTCAAAATGTCCTAATATCCAGCTATTGTGGATTATAACAGATCCTTCAGGAAACAAAAAGTCATTCATTTTTGCCTGTTATACTAAAGATGTCCTCATTCAGAAATCTGATAGTTGAAATAACCAATTAGAGAGCTAAATTCTTGCGGGGGAAAAAAGAACAAAACTGGCCAGTCATGGTTATTTCTCTATTTTATAATTTAGCCCTTGGGCCACCAACAATATAATGAAGAGTTCTTATTATAATCCTTGGTCCTTATTTCATCCCATTTATTTTATGTATGTGTCCAATAAAACACATTTACGGTTTACCTTCATGTTTTTCCCATAATTGGGAATGTATTTTTTGATGGTAAAAGTTTTAAAATTTTTTTGTTTGTTTTAAGATACAAGAGAATCAAAACAGGTATTTCCTTTTCTGTGTTTTATGAATTATGTGTTTTTAAAAATTATACTATTCAGTACTTTTTCACTCTTTGAATGCATTGGAGAATAGACAGCTGAATTCTGTGTTAAGAACAATTCATCCTATATTATATTTGTTATTTTATCAGGCAAAGGTAGCTGCAGCGGATGAGAAGAAGTTCCAGCAACAGATCTTGGCCCAGCAAAAGAAGGACTTGACAACTTTCTTAGAAAGTCAGAAGAAGCAGTATAAGATTTGTAAGGAAAAAATAAAAGAGGTAAGCATACCATTATTTTGTAGTCATCAAGTTGCCATTAGAATGGCTAGAACTTAAAATCAATTCATCTTACATTGTGAATAATATCATAACCCATTAATGCTCAAATTTTCCAGTATTATCACCTGAAGTGATTATTAAAACAGATTGCTAACCCACTACTAGATGTTCTGATTCAGTGGATCTGGGGTGAAGTTTGAAATGTTCATTCCTAACAAATTCCTGTGTGATGCTCATGGTGCTTGTCCAGGACCACTTCAGGAACCATTGGTTTCACTCTAAACCATTCTTGCCTACTTCTGGTTTATTCTCCACATGTCAGCCAGTGATCTTTTCAAAACATAAGTTTTATCATATCACTTCATGATTATAATATTTATTGACTTCTCATTGCTCTTTCATTTGTATTTGCTCATTGATCAAAATACTAAAAGTCCCTGTGTGGTCAGCTACCAGCCTTCCTTCTCACCTCACACCAACTTTCCATTCACCTCTTACCCATTCCAACTCAGCATTACTCCTGCCACAGTGGTCATCTTTGGGTCCTCAAATGTATCCAGCTCTGCCCATCTCCACAGTCTTTGCTCACACTCTTTCTTTCACCAAGGACTCTCCCCATCCCCATCCCTACTCCCAATCCCTTTCCAACCTCCTTGTAAGACTAAGGATTGTTTATTAGTACCATAACTTAAATTTCACTTCCCCAGGAAAACCTTCCCTTGACTGCCTTGACCAAGATAGGTACCTCTGGTGTTATAACACTAATTTTCTATTTTATATGTATCTATATATAGATATATGATTATTTGAGCTGTTTTACCCTACTAGCCAGTAAGCAGTAAGAGAGAAGACCATATATCTTTTTCCTTTGTGTCATTACTTCCCTGTGCCTGGCACATGTGAAATATTTGATCAGTGAGTGACTGATTCTTTAGTATTTGGTTGAAGACCTCTAGTGGACTTAGAGAGTTCCTCTGAGGAACTGCAGTTTGAACTGGAAGCTCGAGTGCCTTCACTTCTCCTTTTACCAGGACTTACAGGTGAATTGCCTGCAGTTCCATAGACATTCCTTCTCATAAGACTTAGTCTCTCACTTGTGGACTACTAGTATATTAAGGCTTAACAGAAGTCAGATGGGATTTGATTTAGTATATGGAATCAGTCACTTGGACACATATTCCAAATTAACAATATGAGAGTTAGCTAGGTTCCTCTTCAGTTTGTTTTTTTTTTTTTAAAAAAAAACAGTTCTTTTTTAATCAAGAACTAAAAGCAAGTGCCTTGGGGTTTGCTCTGCCCAGATGGGTCACTGGTAATTGTTGGAACTGACAGAAATTTCTATCTGACCTGCACTGCCAGAATGAGAATCATCTCTGACACTGTAAGGTCTGGAAAACCAGGCTATGGAGAGAAATAGCCCAACCAAGAAGGTTTACATACTCTCCATTTCCTCTTAGTTATTTCTTGATCTGGAATTATTATATCCTAATAGATGTTACTAGATCACAGAGATAACCTTGATTTTTCAATAAGAAATTTTGGAATTTTCTCAACTGCAGATAGATTTTTACTTATAGCTCCATGTGTTTTCTCATGCTCTAGAAGCCATACTTTATGGCTGCAGCCTCCATTTTGAGCATTTGTACCACTAAGGTATTTGAAGCTTTGTATGAACTCCCTCTTTAGAAGATTCTCCCACAGAACAGCGTTCAAGAATCCCCACTCAGTCCTCAGGCATAGAGCTATTTTGGGTTCACCATACTCAGGTTTATGAGTGCTAAAGACCACAGGTCTAAGTGTACAAGTCCTTCACATTCTCATGAAAAAAAACAAACCTACACCCAATTTAAGACAGCCTCTATAATAAGACTTTCTCTATGCAAATCTAGTATTACTCCTTATGAAGTAAAGCTTAGTTCAGACTGTTGAAAATGGCAGGGACTTCCCTGGTGGTCCACTGGTTAAGACTTTGCCTTTTAGTGTAGGGGGTTCTATCCCTGGTAGGGAAGCTAAGATCCCACATACCTCTCGGTCAACAAAACAAAACATTAAAAAAAAAAAAAAGAAGCAATATTGTAACAGATTCAGTAAAGACTCTAAAAATGGTCCACATCAAAAAATAAAAAACTTTGGAAAAAGAAAATGTCATATATGCTTAAATATTGATATAAAAGGTATCATCCTAAAAAAAATAAAATAAAAGGTATCATCCTTGAGATGACAGAACAATCTCCATTATCCCTACTGTTGATAGATAACTGGGGTCTGGGTAATCCAGAATGATGGATGATCCAGAAATAATTTATTCTTGATTTTGAAGTGAATTTTTATGATCATATTTCAGTTTGGATGAGCAATATAGTGGTTAATGCCAAACCTAGTAGTGAAGTCACAGCATCTAGAAATGAGTCCACCAGCCTTCCTGTTGTGATCCAAGCTTACTCCATGATGGAAATAGTTCTTGCTCTTGTTGATTGTAATATTTCACCTGAGATTTCACTGGAACAGGAAAATTGAAAGTTGATTTACAAAGACTTCTTCAGTTCAGTTCAGACGCTCAGTCATGTCCGACTCTTTGCGACCCCATGAATCACAGCACGCCAGGCCTCCCTGTTCATCACCAACTCCCAGAGTCCACTCAGACTCATGTCCATTGAGTCAGTGATGCCATCCAGCCATCTCATCCTCTGCCGTCCCCTTCTCCTCCTGCCCCTAATCCCTCCCAGCATCAGGGTCTTTTCCAATGAGTCAACTCTTTGCATGAGGTGCCAAAGTATTGGAGTTTCAGCTTCAGTATCAGTCCTTCCAGTGAACACCCACGACTGATCTCCTTTAGGATGGACTGGTTGGATCTCCTTGCAGTCCAAGGGACTCTCAAGAGTCTTCTCCAACACCACAGTTCAAAAGCATCAATTCTTCGGCACTCTGCTTTCTTCACAGTCCTACTCTCACATCCATACATAACCACTGGAAAAACCATAGCCTTGACCAGATGGACCTTTGTTGGCAAAGTAATGTCTCTGCTTTTTAATATGCTATCTAGGTTGGTCATAACTTTCCTTCCAAGGAGTAAGCGTCTTTTAATTTCATGGCTGCAGTCACCATCTGCAGTGATTTTGGAGCCCAAAAATATAAAGTCTGACAAAGACTTCTTAGCTGAGTGCAAAAACAATCTAAACAGTGTGTGATGTCCATGTCACAAAACTTAAGTAAAATAGGTATAGCAATAAAAGACTGAATAGTTAACCAGATATTAAAGGTCCAGCTTGTAGGTGTGAACAGTATGAACAAAGGATGCCCAATACTTTCTCTAAAAGAGATCTTCTTACTTTCCCCATAGAGTAACATCTTCTTACCTGTTCTGATTTACTGCTTTCTTCCCTTCACCCATATGATCTAAAACAATTATGTATTTTGTTCTTTTGGAAATATAGGTGGGTTTATTATTTACCCTCTAATACCAGATGAAGAATGCTTTTTCCTAAAAGTCAAACTAGTGACATTTGCAGCATTACCTCCCATCTGTGACATCTGCCTACTTCTCTGCATCTTGTCACCACCTCCTTTGTCCAAGCTATGATTATCTCTCACCTGGACTTTGTGATAGCTTCCTAGCTGCCTCCATGGACACACTCTTGCCTCCTTCATTCCTTTTTCCACATGGCAGTCGGAGTCATCTTTTTGAAATTCATCTCATTATGACACCCCCACATATATATAAAATCCATTTCTCCTGTGCTAAGGCTTAGTATCTTTAACTTGGCCTGTAAGACTTCCAGTGGTCCTGCCTACCTGTCCAGCTTCATTTCATGTCACACTGTACCACCTGCCCTGACCGTCTCTCAGTTCCTTAACTGCACCATGTTTCAATTAACCTGCCCTAAGAGTTTTGCACATGCTATTTTCTCTGCCCAGAGTATTCTTCCCTGTCCTTTCTTGCTGGTTAACTCCTACAGATTTTTGAAATTTCAGCTTAGTTGTTACCAAGGTCAAATATTTTTTATTAAACACTCTTCAAACCAAGTACTTCAACTACACAGTAGTTATCACAGTAATATTCACTTAATTTCTGTGGTTCTTTGATTTATTTTTGATTCTAGACTGTAAAGTCCCATCATGGCAGATACTATGTTCGTTTGCTCACCATTGTATCCTTTGCCTTGCACAGCACCTGTTGCATGATAAGAACTCAGCAAGCATGTGTTGGTTAAATGAGTGAACCCATGATTTCTGAGCGTGAGAAGACAGACATGAAAGCTAACATGTCTCCCTCTCAACTGATTTAAAAAAAAGGGAGAGGGAGGTATGGGGTGTGGGGAGTGTTTAGTGCAACACCAAGCCTTTCTGACCTTACATTCTCAATTGCTTTCAAAAATAATTTTATCTACATTGCAATAAGCTATTATAGTTCATTTTGCCTGATAAACTTGGCTTTTTTTTTTTTTTTTTTTGGTTTTTGGTTTTGTGAAGGAGATGAATGAGGACCATAGCACACCTAAGAAGGAAAAGCAGGAGCGGATATCCAAGCATAAAGAGAACTTGCAGCACACACAGGCTGAGGAGGAAGCCCACCTTCTCACTCAGCAGAGACTGTACTATGACAAAAACTGTCGTTTCTTCAAGCGGAAAATAATGATCAAGCGGCATGAAGTGGAGCAGCAGAATATTCGGGAGGTATGTATTTTGTTCATAACTATCGTCATTAACTTATGAAGACAGTAAGCTTTATGAGGATCATGACTGTGTCTGTTTTGTCCATACCTATGTCCTTAACCTATACGGACTTCAGTGTGATGCCTGACACAAAGCAGATAGACAAAAGTGAAAGGGAATGAGTTTACTATTGATCAGAGAAAGCCCATTTACAGAACAAGGAATCAACTTTATCCAAATAGAATTTTCTTGAACACCTATTATAAGCCAAATTCATGCAATAGAGAATCAAAAGAAGTAGAATAGAGAATTTTTGCTTTTAACCTGTTTGTCAAAGACTTGAGTTTTCGTGACTGTCTGTGTAACACTTAAAAGAACAGAATGGTTAAGGTAATTCATTCAGTCATCCAGCACTTACACAGTGCCTTCTTATTTACTGTGCTGGAGATGCTATGGCTATTGAGAAGCTATCCTCCCTACCTTCAGCTTTCTCTGAAGACACGAGAAACAGACATGTAACACACTAATCACAGTGTAATATGTTGTCTACCATAGTAGACATAAATAAATTCTCACAGGCATATAGTCGTGAAAGGGCTTGGAAGATTTTGTGATTGAAGAGGAGTTGAGTGTTCTGGATGTGTGGAGTGGAGTATTAGAGCAGGAACAGTTGGAAGCAGGATGGAGGGCCTTGATTCTTAAGGCAAGGCTTTTAGATTTCAGCCTGAAGTCAGTTGCATAGGCATGAGAAGTGGGGTTTTTTTGCTTTTTTTTAAATTTATTTATTTTTAATTGAAGGATAATTGCTTTACAAAGAGAAGTAAGTAAAAATGAGAGAATTTTAAGCAGAGAAATGACAATGAGAGTTTTTCTTTGTTTTGAAGAATGAATGCCTCAGCATTGAAGATAGCCTAGGGTGGTACAAGGCAAAAGACAGTGAGGTCAGTAAGAATGCCTTTTCTCTAGTTCCACCTGGAAGAAGCAGTGGGGATATAGATTAGATCTGAGTGACATTTCTAAAGCAGAACTGACAGTAATTCAAACCAAATGCTGTGAGAATTTCAGAAGTAAGAGGAGTCAAAAAATGAATGCAGAGTTTCTAATTTGGGAAATTGGACGAATATGATGTTATTCACTGAGATGAGGAATACAGAATGTGAATTGGTTGCAGAGACAAAGTTCAGTAGGAAATCACTGTGACCTGAAGTAATATGAGAAGCCCTCAAGTGAGCTAGCACATTGGTAAAATTATCAAAGTCAGATTAAAAACCCAGTGTTAGGCTGCAGGAGGGAAACAAGCCCTTCAGGCACATTTAATGAAAATGTGAATTGGTTTAAGCTTTTTAGAGAGCAGTATTCAAATGGGAAGAAAAAAGGGTGGAGCAAACTAAAATTTATTGAACACATAATCATGGGCCAGGCTCAGGCTGTTTATCTGTGTTATCTCATCTTATTGGAAGAGGGAGAAACTGAACATTTTTGAGCCAGTCAGTGAGTGATATGGCTAACATTCTACTTTACAGAGATTAGCCCAGTTTGGTGGTGACGCACAGACTGATTAGAGCATGCATGATCAGTGGGAGCAATATTACCCCCTGGGGAGTAAAAAGGGAGTTCTTGTGGAGGAGGGATCTTAGATTTTATAGTGACTTGTGGCCCTCTGAAGGGCTAGAGTACATAAAAAGATATACAGTACATGTTTGTTATTAGCATTTCAATGGTGAGGATGGTCAGGGAAGGGTGGAGGCTAAAAAGGCCCCTGCTGGAAATAATGGGGGTGGGGGTGGAAGGTTGAGAAACATTGAATTTAGAGGGAAGAAACTAGAAGCAAAGAGATCCGGTGGTAGGAATAGGCTATAGACACAGATAGGGTGTTAGCTGGCAAAAAAGAGAGATGGGTTTGAAACATTTTGCAGTATAAAATAAGCTGGACTTGGCATACAAAAGGATATGAGAAAGAGATGAGGGTAGAGTCAAAGTTATTTCTAGGATTTAAGAGCTGGGGAAATGTAGATTTGGGCAGAAACAGAGAAGCTTAGAGAGAGGTATTGGTAAGAAACTGGTTAATTCAATATTACATGTGTTGAGTTTGTTAGAAGGCTAAAAAATTCAAATCAAAAAGAAACAAGGTATTTGGGATTCTTTCCAACTGGCAGTTATTATTTTTGTTCTAGTGTCACATATTTGGAAGAAGTCTGAGATTAAGGGGCAGTTAGTGCCAATAAAAGCTATAGAAGACAATTATTCCTCCAAATGATAGAAACTATATTCGTTAGCATCAGGTTCTAACCAACTGGGTGAAGAATAACTCTACAAGGGTTTATTTCTGAAAAGTCTAACTTTTCCTTTGTTTAGTATTATTCTGGAGCCACCTTAGTGAAAATGTTCAGTTTTTTGTCTTCTATTTATAAAAGAACATTGAAAAAAGACAAATGCAGAAAAACACTGAGTTGTGAAAGTGCTCGATAATCCCATCCCACCCATTTTCTACCCTGGGACAGTCACCATTAATTTGGCAGATATATTACCAGAGTTTTTTCAGATATGCATGTGCGTGTGTGTGTGTGTATATATATGTATGTGTATATATATATATATATATATATATATATATACATATACAACTTATATATTATATATAACTTTAATCTTACAAAAATAAGATTCTGTTAGTACCAGTGGGTTATTTGATTTGCAAGCAATAGAAACAAACTGACTGACTTAGCATGGAAAGGAATTTATTGGAAGGATATGGGGTAGATGACAGAGCTGAAGACCCAAGCTGGAAAAGATGAGGAATCAAGCTGGGAAAGCAACTTCGTGACCTAGAGGGCAAGAGCTAATGGTCATTCCTCAAGACACTGCCATTTGGATGTACCTCCTCCAACCATGTTTCATCTTTGTATCATTTCTGCTTAAGACTCAAATTCCTAGGAGAGATAGCACTTGATTGGGTAATGTGCTTATTCACTTACTCAGTAGTCGCTCTGATTTCCACATAGGGTGGAGTAGTTTCTGAAGCAAAAAGAGGAGCCTGTTAACAAAAAGAAGGGGAAATGGATACTGAACCTACAAAAATAACCAGTTTACTGTTTCATAACTCTTTTCCTTTTGTATTATTTTTCATTTACTATCTAAAACATATAACTCTGCCTCATTCTTTTTTAATTATCAATAGTACTTTTTGGTATGGCTATAGAATAAGTTATTTAATGAGGCACTTCTCTGGGTATTCTGTTGGAGTTGTGCAATATCACTTTTTACATGTAAGCAAGTATTTTGTAGGATATAATATTCTCAGGAGGAGAATTTTTAGGTCAGAGTGTATACACCTACATTTTAAATAGATATTGTCAAATTGCCCTCTAAGGACTTATAACTCCCACCAAGAAAAAGTGCTTGTTTTCCTCTACCTTTGCCAAAACTGAGCATTAGCAATCCCACCCCCCACTTTTTTTTTTTTCGGTAGACTTTAAATTTTTTTTAGTCTTGCCACACAGCATGCAAGATCTTAGTTCCCCAATTAGAGATCAAACCCATATGCCCTGCAGTGAAAGTGTGGAGTCTTAACAACTGGACCTCCAGGGAAGTCCCCACCATTCCTTTTTATTAATGAAAACATTTAAAAAGATCACCATAGGCTGAGTTGAGCCTCTTTTATGATCACTACACATCAGTGCTCATAACTGGTTTCCTAACCAGTTATGCAGCTAAGAACTGAAGCTAAGAAAATATTAAATGTCATAGGCTAACAACATCCCCACTTATATTTTGAATTCTCATTCTTACTCAGTGTCAGTGGACATGAACACAAAAATTTTTGAGTCAGATCAGATGCTTTTAAGGAAGTCAATAGTACGTCCATTGAAACTTAAATAGAATGCTTGTTTCGTGGTTGGGGAACGTGTGTTTGGGGGATACACCCTAGATCCACATCTCAGAGGAGGTAGGTTCAAATAATGTGTACAGAAATGTGTTTTGTGGCCATGGTGTACTGTCATGGCCGTATGTTGTATGTGTGTTTCACCCCTAAATTCATATTCAGCCTGGTGTGATGCTCAGTGCATGTGATGTGGGCTGGGGTAAAGGGAGCTGCCTGCTTCTCATCTTATGCTCCCTCCAAGGCATATATACATGGAGTGCACAGAATCACCTCTACCATGAAATTTGTTTTTGTATTTTTGCTCAACTCATTTTATTGAATTATATAAGCTAGAATGTGGCCTTACTATATATATTGTATCATTTGTACAGACTAAAAGCAACCATTGCATCATGTCTAGCTAGAGCAGAGGGATTCTTCAGAATATTGTATTCCAGACTGAAACAGCATAAAACAGAAAAACATAAGCCATTCTTTGGGACATTTTTATTTATTTTTTATTTTTTTCTTTGGGACATTTTTAGTGGAAAATGTTGAAAAGCTAAAAACCTGAGTTTTAGCTTCAGTTCTACTTTATGGAAATTATGTAACCTTATGTTAGCCTTTCCATTCCCCAATGCCTTACTATCATATATAAAAATGGTTAAATCCTAATAGTCTTACCACTGCATAGGATTGCAGCTAGGATTGAGCAAGATATATAAAATCACTTTTAATAATTGAGAGCACACTACACATTATTATGTAGGTATAGCAATGGGCTCATAATAAGCTGAATAATGTTTTTTTCCCATAGTGTAAAATATTATAGGTAGCTTAACATCTCTGCAACTCAGACATATGAATTAAAGGTAGTTAATTAAAGGTAATTTCTATTACAATTGTAATAGAAAAAACCATTTCAGTATTATTTTTCTCTCAGCTTTTAAATAGTTTATAGTATCTAGATTTGTTATTGTGTGCCAGATATTCACTTCTGAATGTAGAAAAATAGTAATGGAATGTTATATATATTCTGAAGCATCTTCTTATGGTCTTTCCTTTCAACTTCACAAGACTGGTAGTTCATGATGGGTACTATTATCCTCACTTTACACCTGAGGAAACCAAAATGTAGATTTGAAGTCTTACCAAATGCCATACATAATGAATCAGTGGAAAAGCTAAAACTGACTCACACCCTGAATTATTTTTCCACTGATTCTCAAACTTTAGTATATATCAGAATTACCTGGGTGGAATGTTATCAAGTCCAGTTGCTTCCAAGTGATTCTGATGCAGGTATTCCAAGGACAACATCCTGAAGCATTCCATTACACAGAGAAGCATTTGTTTTCTTCTGAAAGTGCTGTTTGCTTTGTATCTTTTTCCCCCCTGTGAATTTCTGAGCTCTGGGTAGCTGAGACTCAGTTTGAACTTTTCCATTTAAGAAAATGTGTGGAATGTGTAAATGCACAATACTGGGGCTCCTGGTACTCAAAGACTGAAGATGATAGTGATCTAGGAACAGAATCTTTAGCCATCCAAAAAGCTTTCCTTGGCTTTAGTCTCCGAGAGGCCCTCACCATCCTTTGGTGCCACCTAGGGGCCAGTTAGTGATTTTTAAAAGCCATCTGATGGTCCAGGTAAGGAAGGAAAATAAAGGAAAAGAAAAACGTGGGAGAGGATGTGGGAAGATGCTCTGGAGATTATCTTTTATTGTTTGTAACAAATGCATTTATACTCCAGGTATTTCCCCACTAGAAAATAAGCCCATGAGGGGATGTACTTGTTCACTGGACCCTTCTTAGTACCTAAAACAGTGCCCAACACGTAGGAAATGCTAAACAAATATCTGTTGAATAAGTAAATGAATGACTAGCAACTTTGCTCCAGTAACAGATACTGTGCTGTTTAAAGGACTTCTCTTCAAGTGGATGGAAGGCCCAATACACGAGATATTTCTCAACCATGCCAGTGCACAAATATTACTGATATCTCTTATGAAAATGATCTTGCATTTTCTCCATTGTGGGTGCCATTGGAAAGGAGAGGCACCCTATTCTGGTTTAAAGTTCAGCTTAAGGGCTTTCTCCTTTCCTTGCTCTTCTTAACTAGTAGTGATAATATTCTTTTTGAAAATCTTCTAGCAAATAATCTTCATCTCTTTTGTATCTCTTATCACTTCCAACCTTGCACTTTTGAAAAAAAGAACACACATAAAATTTATGTCCCTGTATTAATCAAGCTTCTTTTGTTTGCATGTTACTGAAATTTATTTGAGCTGGCTAAAACCAAAACCAGGGTATTTTCTACAGAAACATAGAGATGTTTCATAAAGCCCAGTAGCAATGATATAGCTGGACCTACAAGGAGGCTTAGAACCAGTCAGGAACTTGGGTATCAGTGTATTTCCCGCCTTTCTTTCTTCTCTATCATTCTTCTTGCTCTGAAGCTCAGCTTTATCTGATCCTTAGTCCTTATAGCAGCAGGTGGCTACCACATATGTAGTTTTTAATATTCCCCTCTATTCTAACCACACACACAGAGATTAACTGTCCCTGAATCCAAATTCACAGGAGAGAAGATAGACTGATTCAGTGTGCTGTGAGCTGAGCATATACTTTCATAAGTGTCTGTTATATTTCCCTGTTAGGGTGTTAGCAAGTTGGCCACCAAGTCAAGGCTTAGTAAATATTTTTATGTACCCAGAGAACATGGTTCACAGCTTTGATACCCTGCCATTCAGGAAATATTCTTGAATTGGTGAATAAAAAAGTTTCACCCAACTTGCTCCTCCTTTTTTTTTTTTAATTCTAGTTTCCTTTCTTTCCCCCTTCAACAAAAGAGAAAGACATGAGTAAAACTGGGAGGAGCAGAATGATTAGCTCTAGAAATGACCAGACAGACTGTAATGGAAAAGATGAATGGGGAGAGATCTCATCTGCTTTTTCCCAGTGAGCACTGACCTCTGAGATTTTGAAAAATAGGTAATTAGCCTACTTTTGATACATGCAAAAGGAGGGTATTTCCCCAAAATCTAGGAACATTGCAGACATGATCAGTTTAATAGAGCGATTCTCAACTCTGACTGCATATTAGATCTACCTAGATGTTGACTCAGTGGTAAAGAATCCACCTGCCAAGCAGACGTGGGTTCAGACCTTGGGTCAGAAAGATCCCCTGGAGAAGGAAATAGCAACTCACTTCAGTATTCTTACCTATGAAATTCTATGGACAGAGGAGCCTGGCAGGCTACAGTCCGTAGAGTCACAAAGTGTTGGACACAACTTAGCAACTAAACAGTAGCAGACAACTCTTAAAACTATTGATGTCAGGGTCACACTCCACTCGGTTTTCAGAATTTCAGATTATGAGACTCAGGCATCTTTTGGTTTAAAAGCTTCCTCACATGCTTTTAATGGGCAGCCAGCCAGCCAGCCAGCCTAACTAAAGAAACATTTATTTAGACCCATGCATAACACATCACCTAGTTAAGGCTCTCCGCAGCTCTGTGAGGTAAGAAGGAGTCAGGCAGAATTAATCCCATTTTACAGATAGAGTAGTTGTGGTGGCTCTGAAGATGCCCAAGTTGTAAAGGGTGGAACCACAGACAGAATCTCAGTCTCCAGGGATTGTTCATCTAGTCTTATTAAGTCATGTGCCAAACACTAATGGGCAATTAAGAGACAGTTAATAGTGCTATTGCTTGCCATCCCTTACTGAGTGGTGCCTTTTCTCCAGTTCATCTCCATTCATCTCTCTCCGTGTACTTTTTGTCGCTAAATATAGGAACTAAATAAAAAGAGGACACAGAAGGAGATGGAGCATGCCATGCTGATCCGGCACGACGAGTCCACCCGAGAGCTTGAGTACAGGCAGCTGCACACGTTACAGAAACTCCGCATGGATCTGATCCGGCTACAGCACCAGACTGAACTGGAAAACCAGCTGGAGTACAATAAGAGGCGAGAAAGGGAACTGCACAGAAAGCATGTCATGGAACTTCGGCAACAGCCAAAAAACTTAAAGGTGAGAGGAAATTCCCTGGTTTGTGTTCCAAAACACAGATAAGCTGTATCAATGGTTCCTACACGTGGATGACTGACAGAATCACCTGGGCAACTCCATAAAATTGCACTTTTCAGGGCCCCTCAGCTACTGAATCAGAAGCACAAGAGTCTGGATATAACAGACTCCTGAAGAGATGTTTCTGGGCCATGTGATATCTCCATTTTTTCTTTGTATCCATTATATACAACCTCTTTGACCCCTGTCATGACATTCCCTCTTTAAAATTATAACATAAAATAACAGCAGTCCATGGTTCTTATCCCAGGAAATGAGAAATTTACCTGACAGAAATATAGCAGATAAATTTTATCAGTCATGCCAGTCAGATTATTGGCGTTAGCTACCTTGAGTGCTACTCTATTGAGAAAGACTCTAAAGCCATATCCACACTTAGTAACAAAGAGTATAATGTATTAGTGACATCTCTCCCAGGCATGAGAATCAGCAGTGACATACCAAGCATTTGTTTTACCTACACTAGAAATATGGAGCTCCTTTAGCCCTCACTACCTCCAGAGAACTTTAGCCGACTGCTAATTAACAAGCTATGTGGACTAAGCCATTGGTATATGTCAAGGAAGTCATTGTCAGTATTTTCAAAGATACAAGGTCAGCCTCAACCACACTGGCCATGATCCTCTCTAACCAGATGCCAACCTGTCTAATTAGTGATCTCTAATTAGTGATCCTTGTCTTCCAAATTCCTCCACATGTTCATGAAGTGTACATGTGACTATCAAGCAACATGATGGAATGTCTTTTGGACTTACAATAAAAAACCCCACCTTATCTTTGCCAAAATGCATATTTGATGTTGCTACATGCAAGCAGTGGGAATGAGTTGTGATATGAAGTGTAACCCAGTGCTGTCCTTTATTGATTTGTCCAGGAGACACAGAGCAGTGAGCGATGGCCTCTATGTTGCCATCCGCTTTCTTACTTGGAAACAGGGGAAGCAGTTAAAAAGAGGTGGGGCAACAAGCAGTAGAAGACACTGAAAATTTTGATAAGGAAACCACTGAAATAATGAACAAGCTTTTAACAAACTAAGCTTCACAGTATTCCATGATCATCTTTGAGTTGTGATTTTGTAAAAATTCATTTTTTAAATCTATTTGTAAATTCAAAACAACTTCTATTCAGACAATAAAACCAAAAGTATTGGTAGAGGTAACTCCTATCTGTGACTTATGTATTATTTTCATTATCATTGACTAGTAGTATCGGTCACTGCACCAAAACACAGTTGGTCCCAGAACCTATACTGTATCATGAGAATGGAAGACTTTCTGTGTTTACTGATGTGCCTTTATTTTCCTTTTGTCACTTTTTCTATACAGGCCATGGAAATGCAAATTAAAAAACAGTTTCAGGACACTTGCAAAGTACAGACCAAACAGTATAAAGCACTCAAGAATCACCAGTTGGAAGTTACTCCAAAGAATGAGCACAAAACAATCTTAAAGACACTGAAAGATGAGCAGACAAGAAAACTTGCCATTTTGGCAGAGCAGTATGAACAGAGTATAAATGAAATGATGGCCTCTCAAGCGGTAAGTGGTTTAGGTTCAGTGCCACGGCTTCAAGAGCTTTGGGAATCAAGAAAATTCAAGATCCAGCCTTTTGGTCCCAGGATGATTCTTGTGCACATTTAGGATATTGGTGTTTTTCCACCCAAAGAACTGAAGGAAATGACGACGGTGAATAAAGCCAAGACAGTGCGGATACTTGCTGGAGTGTGTTTTAAGAGATGGAATTCAAGGAATAATGCACTAAATGAGACCTGTGGCACATAGGTTCTTTGAGGGCACAGTGCAATAGATACCGCATGTAATATCATAATTTCATTCGCCAAAGATTTCACAGCTAATTTCAGGCACGAATGAGACACACAGACACGTTTATTTGGTAAAATCTTACTAAGCACCTATGCTCAGCACTCTGCCGGGCTCAGAGATAAGAGTGATGAACTAGAGAGATGACAGTGGTCCCTGTCCTCACACATTTATCAGTCAAGTAAGAAGGTCAGATAATTAAGCAATGAAAATAAAACATAAAAGTGCTTTGAACTGGGAGGTGCCAGGATCTATGGGAGGGTAAGTAGGAACAATGAATCTGGTCTAGGAAAAGCTTCTCAGCAAAAGCCAAGAAGCATGAAGGAATTTATTGATACAAACAGGTTATGTGGAAAAGGGCCTACATAGACAGAGGCTCAAAGATAGAAAGTATGCATTTGGGGAGTGAAAGAACTATGGCATGAGCCCAAAAGTTCAAGGAGGAGGATTGTGGGAGCCCAAAATGGTGAAGTCATAACTTAGGTCTTGGTGAGCCAGGGATGGGAATTTGCCCAGTAATTCAGTGAAGGCTTCACAAGGAGATGACTCTTAAAAGAGTAATAGTTGGTCAAATGAGGAGAAATGGAAAAATTACTCCTGGCAGACAATACAGTATATGTAAAGATTCCAGGGCCTGAAAGAGGATGGTGCATTTGAGAAACTATGAGTAGTTGGTGGTAGGAGGATGATGGGCAGCTGGTGGATAATCAGGGGTTGAGCCTCAAAAGCCGGGAATGTGGATGTTGTTCTATCAACAATGAAGAGCTGCTAAAAGGACTTGCACAGTGGTCCAGTGGTTAAGACTGCACTTCCACTGCAGGGGGCATGGTTAGGGGACCAAGATCCTACATGCGTGTGGTGTGGCCAAAAGAGAGAGAGAGAGAGCTGCTGACACCTATCTAAAGAAGGAAAGTGACAGGATCCAATGTGGGCTGTAGAAAGATACTGGTTGTAAATGTGGCAAATGCAGGTAATGAGACCTGTTAGAAAGCTATTGTAAAAAAAAAAAAAAAAAAAAAAGGAAGAGAAAGCTATTGTAATAGTCCAGGGGGAAAAAATGAAGCCCTGAACTAAGAACATGGTAATGGAGGTAATGAGGAGGGAGAGGAGGATTTGAGGAATATTTAGAAGGTAGAATAGAGAGAACTTAGGGACCAATTTGAGAGGTAGGTTTGATAACAGTGGAACGGGTCATCATTTTACCAAGATCGAAAATCAGAAGGAGGAATGAGTTTGGGTGCCTTGAAGATACTTGACCTGTTAACTGAGCTCTGTGGGTATCTAGGTGGAAAGGTACAGAGATGGTAATCTTCAGTTCAAAAGGGTGTCAGAATTAACATCAAAAAGTTAGTCATTGTTGACTTCCCTGGTGGTCCAGAGGTTAAGATTCTGCATTTCAAATGCAGGGGGCTCGGGTTTGATCCCTGGTTGAGTTTGATCCCTAGGCGAGGAACTAAGATACCACATGCCATGTAGCATGGCCAAAAATAATTCTTAATTTAAAAATTTTTAAATTTAAAAGACTTCCTTGGCCATCCAGTGGATAAGACTGTGCTTCTAATGCAGGGGGGCCAGGTTCAGTTCCTGATTGGGGAACTAAGATTGCTGATGCCATGAGTCACAGCTAGAAAAAGTTAGTCATTATTATATGGGGGCAGTTGTAGCTGTTGGGAATACCTGAGACCTCCAAGGGATAAGAGATCGTGTTTAAAGAGGAAGAGGACTCAGAACAGAATAGTGGACACCAACATTTGAGGGCAAAGTAGAAGTTAGACCAAAGAAGATGAATAACCAACATTGTGGAAGGGGAACCAAAAAGAGTGTCACAGAAGCCAGAGCAAAGGTTTCTAGTTGATGAATTCAGATGTTTCAGAGAGACCAGGTGGACCCAGCGGTGGCTTTGTCCATTGCTTGTCACAGACAGTGGAGTGCTGGAAATGGAAAAAAGGGATTATAGAATGAGATAAAAACTGTGAGACTGCTTTTCCCAGATTCTTGTCAGTGAAGGAAAGGTGAAATAGAGCTCTAGCTAAAGGAAAAAACAGTTAGAGGGGGACTTCTACTAATTGGAAAGGCTTAAACATGTCCTTAGTTGAGGATAGCTGCTGCTGCTGCTAAGTTGCTTCAGTCGTGTCTGACTCTGTGTGACCCCATAGACAGCAGCCCACCAGGCTCCACCGTCCCTGGGATTCTCCAGGCAAGAACACTGGAGTGGGTCGCCATTTCCTTCTCCAATGCATGGAAGTGAAAAGTGAAAGTGAAGTCGCTCAGTTGTGTCCGACTCTTCGCAACCCCATGGACTGCAGCCTACCAAGCTCCTCTGTCCATGGGATTTTCCAGGCAAGAGTACTGGAGTGGGGTGCCATTGTCTTCTCCAAGTTGAGAATAGAAACCAGTGTGATTCATTCATCCATCCATCTAATAAGTATTTATTGAATGCCTCTGCTGTGCCCCTGACATCCAGTAATAATGCGATGAAGAAAACAGAGGATGATAATGTCCTCATGGAATTTATGAAAGAGTGAAGGAAACATGTTGGAAAAATCTACATGTAACAGCAGAACAAGTGCAGTGTGCCCACAGAGCGAGGCTAGTCTGGAGAGTCAGGAAAGGCCTCTCAGACAAAGTGATTATTTAAGCCAAGGGGTAGGGAGCACATTCTAGGCAAAACTATTATACATTTGTAAAGATGGGAAAGACGGTATCACTTTTAAAAGACTCAAAGTCCATTGTATTTGGAATATGGAGAACTAGGAGGCAACTAACACAAGAATAAGACTAGATCATGTATAGGCTAGTAAGCTTTCTTAAGAATTTTGATCTTATCCTAAAAGCACTGGGAAGCCATTAAAGAGCAATAAGGAGGAGACTGATGTCAGATTTAAATTTTTAAATGATAACTGGTGAAATGTGGAGAATGGCTTGGGAGATAGCAAGTGCAGGTATAAGGAGAGCGTGTATAAAGTTGCTGCCTTTAACTGGGTGTGAAGGAATGGTGGCCAGACTAGAGAGGAAACAGGATGAAGCAGAAAGTGACTCAGTTTGAGAACTAGGCAGGAGGTGGAACTAGAAGCATTTAGTAACAGATTGAATGTGGAGAGTGAGATATTAAGAATGACACCCAGTCTCTGGTTTGAATAAAATGGTAGATGATGATACCATTTATCTATATGGTCAAAAAAGGAATTGGAAATTGGGAAAGTAGGAAGGAAACAATGATTAGTTAGTATTAGTAGGTTGGTGCAAAAGTAATTACAGTTTCAGACCCTAAATTTTAAATCATTATGACTAGGCTCAAACACATCTTTATTAATCAAAATAGGAACCATTATAATCAACACATTTTTACCAATAAGAAATAAGTTGGTTTATTCCTATAGCTTAAAAAGTCTGTGCTTCAGAATTCAACAAACTTTTGGAAAGCATTTTCTGCCTCCTGCTGGTTGTGGAAACATTTTTCCTACAAAAAGTTGTCTAGATGCTTGAAGAAGTGGAAGTTGGTTGACGAGAGGTCAGGTGAATATGGCAGTTGAAGCAAAACTTCATAGTCCAGTTCATTGAACTTCTGAAGCATTGGTTGTGTGACATGCACTTGAGCGTTGTTGTGGAGAAGAATTGGACCCTTTCTGCTGATTGATGCTGCAGGAGTTGCAGTTTTTGGTGCATATCATCAATTTGCTGAGCATACTTTTCAGATGTAATGATTTCACCAGGATTCAGAAAGCTGTAGTGGATCAAGTGACAGCAGACCACCAAACACTGACTTTGACCTTTTTTGGTACAAGTTTGACTTTGAGAAGTGCTTTGGCTTCTCAGTCCATCCACTGACCTGGTCATCACTGGTTGTCATATAAAATCCACTTTTTATTGCACATCTCAACTCAACCAAGAAATTGTCGTCACTTGCACAGAATAAGAGAAGATGTCACTTCAAAACAATGATTTTTATTTTTGGTCAGCTCACGAGGCACCCACTTACCAAGTTTTTTCACCTTTCCAATTTGCTTTAAATGCTGAACGACCATAGAACAGTCAACATTGAGTTCTTGGGCAACTTCTCGTGTGGTTGTAAGATCAGCTTTGATGATCCTCTCAGTTGGTCATTGTCAACTTCTGATGGCTGGCCTCTGTGCTCCTCATCTTTAAGGCTCTTGTTTCCTTTGCAAAACTTGAGTGACCACTGCACTGTACGTTCATTAGCAATTCCTGGGCCAAATACGTTGTTGATGTTGTGAGCTGTCTCCATTGTTTTATGACCCATTTTACACTCAAATAAGAAAATCACTTGAATTTGCTTTTTGTCTAACATTATTTCCATATTCCAAAGTACATATAAAATAAACAGTAATAATAATAATAAGTAGTAATTCACTAGCAAAAATCATAAATCAAGAAATGTGAATTAAAATGTATAACATAACCACATTTATTTATTTAAGAACATATTTCAATATCAAATGCAATGCAAAACCACAGTTACTTTTGCACCAACGTAATAGTCATGTTGAGGGACTTCCCTGGCAGTCCAGTGGTTAAGACTCTGCACTTCTACTGCAGAGGGCGAGGGTTCGATCCCTGGTCAGGGAACTAAGATCCTGCATGCTGCACAGTGCAACCAGAAAAATACACACACACACATATATGTATGTATGTATGTATGTAAATATTTATACATATATTAGTCAAGTTGAGCTTGAAGGCCTGGGAACCATCCAGATGAAGATATCTCGTATAGAGTGGATAAGCTAGCCTGAATCTCAGAAACGAAGTCTGAAATAGAGGTGTGGTTGTGGGAATCATTTGCAGAAAGATGGTAATTGAAACCTTTGAAATAGATGAGACTCCTCAGGAAGGGAGGTTAGAGGAAGAAGACTGACAAAGTCCTAAGGAGCACCCATATTTAATGACCCAGTGAGGGTTAGAGAATAACTGGAAAAGGAAAGGAAGGAAGGAGAAACCAAGAGGGTGTGGTGTCTCAGAAGCCAGGAGAGAGTCCAGGAAGGAAGGGGCAGCCCATAGTATCACATGTTCCTGGGAGGACAGGTAAGATAAGGGCCCTTTCACGATGGTCAGAGATGAGATGTAAGATGAGGACAAGGAGTGCATACAGGAGTTAAAGGTAAGAAGGAGACAATTAGCAGTTGGGACATAAAGATTGGTGGCATTCCAATAAAGATTGGGTTTTGTTCTATTTGTAATTCTCAGCATCTGCTACAATGCCTAGCATCCAACAAGTGCTCAATGGATGTTTGTTACATAAGATGAGAGAGAATAGGGTCAGGAATATAGGTTCATGATTGTCCTTGAATAAAAGAAGAGAAATAACCCTTCCTTCTGTGGCAGGGAGGAGATAAAAGTACAGATGATAATTACAGCTTCCTTTACTACTCACTTACCATGTGCCAGGCACTGTTGTAAGTATTTTGTGTTATATCATTTTTGTGAATCCCCTCTAACCTTTGAAGTAGTTACTTTTTTTAAACCCTGATTTACTTGTGAGGAAACTGAGGTTTATTGAAGTTAAGTTACTTGCTTAGGGTAAGGATTAACAAACTTTTTCTGTAAAGGGGCAGATGGTAAATGTTTTAGGCTTTTGTGAACCACAGAGTCTGTGTCACAACTACTCAACTCTGCCATTGTCATACAAAAGCAGTCATAGATAGTGCATCCATGAATGAGTGTGTCTGTTCCAGGAAAACTTCATTTACAGAAATAGGCAGCAAGCCAAATTTGCCCTTTAGGCCATAGTGTACCCACTCTTGACTTAGAGGGTCATTTAATGGTAAGTAGCTAATTAGTGGTGGAACTGCATTTTGAACCCATTTTGGGGGACCCCGTAAGCCTGTATGTCTGGCCACTACTACATTATGCTGCTTCTATCACATCCCTTTCTTGAATTTAACCCAGTAGAGGGAACAGACCTGATATTTACCTAAACTTTTATAACACTTCCTAATGGATTTGGTATGTGCAACTTTGAGTTGATGAATATCAAATACTGTAATATCCTCTGCTTTCTAGACTGACAGTTTTTTAGAGTCAGAGCTGGTTAAGAGTAACATAGTTACTGACATTAATAATAGAATGCCAGAAATAAAAGAAGACAAAGGTAATTCAGTGGTCTGAATTGTCCAGAGAATGAGCCTCTGGTCAGTACTCATGACAATTAACCAAACCAGGTAAAAAATAATAGACTTCATTCCCTTTATTGGTAAGAAACCTCCCATATCAAGAGGGAATCAAGAACAACCTCACTGGGAGCCAGTAAACCCTTTGGGCTTTACCTGAGCTGTTGCTGCCTCAGAGTGACCATTCTTTGTGTCTAGTATCTCTTCTCCCTTCATTTGTCATTGGGAGAATGAGAAGAGTAGCATCCTCTCTAGTGGGTGGATTTGAGTGAAAACTGGTTAGGATTAATTATTAGAAAGTACTTTGGAAATATGACTCCATTATTTATTTTGTGTTCCTTTGATAGAGTACATTTCTCCAAAAGTACAAAAGAAGACACTATAAAAATAGCTTTATAAAACTATTCTAATAACATTTCAAAAAACCATAACTCAGTCAAGAGATTAAGAAATGCTGTTACTTGTCATAAATTGTACAGAATAGGGAAAGCAGTTTAAGGTAGAAAGTAAATATCTTGGCAAAGCGGTCTGTATGGAAACATGCCAATATACTTATAGTTCACAGCTGAACTGAGGGCCTGCTAAATCTAGACCAGACTAAACCTGGTGTGGCAGGAGGGCCATCATCCCTAAACACAGTCCTGCTAATGGCCCTAAATTTTCGACTGTACTTATTGAAAGGTTGGCATTTCTGCTGGTTGCCTTGGCCCATTCCCCACATAGGATCAGTATCTTGGTGAATAAATAATACAAAGCACGGGTGCTACAGGGAGCAAGGGAAATTTTATCTAGATTTCACTACTTCAAACTGGAATATGCCCCTTAAGATTATCCAGGCTACCTTCTATGGGAAAGAGATTTTGAACCACTTGAGTTTTCGATGGCTGGCCAGCAGGATAAAGTATAGCCAACATTATAGGGACCAAATTTACTTGCTGGAAACATAATGGTAGTGTGGTATATTCCTCAAATGTTATGGAGATTGGACTCTCTTTTTTTCTTCTTCTTCTTCTTAGAGCTAATTGGGGCTTAAAGATATCTAAATATGGAAATGGTTAGTCAAAATAATGATCGCAGCTGCTGTTTACTGACCCTTTGGTAGACATCAAGAACTATGCCTAGAATTTTATATGAATTTTTTCATTTAATCTTCATACAAACCTTAGAAAGCAAGAACTATTACTGTTACTTGCTTGAGATGAAAAAAAAAGAGAGAGAGAGACTTGGAGAGCTTAAGTAACTTACTAAGGTGACACACGTCAGTGAATAATGAAGCTAGAATTCTAGCTCAGGAGTCTGCCTCTGAAAGCCCACAGGCTTAATCTCTGGAGTGTGGAGCTTTCCTGGCTCCTGCTAGTGTAGTTTTAAGAGAGCCAGATTTCCTTAAGAAAAGAGTGTTTTTGCTTTCTTAAGAATGTTTTTTTTTTAAAAAGGAAGTGTTTTTAGAGCTTGTAGCCCATCAGGCAGAATGTGCTATCTTTGACTTGTAACTCTGAATGTAGCCAGGGCATCTGATTTCCTGAGGGGCCCAATTCAGTCCAGACTAGGAAGCATCCTCCCGTAGTCACCATGTAAGCTAGGAGCCAATCACAGTATGTGTCTTCTGTGCCTGCAGTTACGGCTAGATGAGGCTCAAGAAGCAGAATGCCAGGCCTTGAGGCTACAGCTCCAGCAGGAAATGGAGCTGCTCAATGCCTACCAGAGCAAAATCAAGATGCAAACAGAGGCACAACATGAACGTGAGCTCCAGAAGCTAGAGCAGAGGGTGTCTCTGCGCAGAGCACATCTTGAACAGAAGGTATGAGCGTGTTGCCAAGGGGTCTTGTACACTGGGTGGAGGTTGGGCGTGACCCTTGTTTGTGTAACTGGGGGTTAACGAGGTGCTGTTCCCTTTGCACCTGCTTTGACCCTCCTAGTGCCTGAGAGGTAGGCATAGTCCCCATTCCACAGGCTGGACGCTGAGGCTCAGAAGGCTTAGGTTACTTGTGTAAATCTGATCCTACAGCCTGAGTTCTGTCTATTACTCTGCTCAGAAACCCTCCACCTTCGTAGTCTGAGGGCTGACACAGGTAACTAGGTAGGTAGCTGATTTGACATACGAAAGGTACTATAAGTTGATAGCATGGCCGCTGAATGGCCTGAGGAAGCCAAATGCAGATCTGGTTTTTGTTCTCAGCTATTTCTAAACCAAAAGAAATCACCAGCATTTTTTTTGTTAAAAAAATCAAAATGAAGAGAGACTGATATTGTTATACTTAATGTTATCATATTTTTAAATATTTATTGTTTTTAGATGTTACGAGGAATATAAAGTAGAAAAGATGCCATAAAGCATCTCAAAGCCATTAAGTGTGTATTTGCTTAACCAGTTATTTGGGCTTTCTTCTGGTAGTTCCCAGAGGTCAATGAGAAAGACTATTTTCCCAGTTCCTGATCTAGAACTAAATTGCTAATAACCCAGGGGTCTTTTGACTCTCTCTGGGAAAGCTACATAAGCTAATTGTCTTTTAGCTTCTCCTGAACCATCTCCTGCTGAGACAGGACACTGACCTAGATCAGCCCAGCTGCTTGACTTGCTAGCAGGGCAGTGCCAGCCCCAGGTGGCCCCAAACATTTTTATTCTTGTGAGCAACTTTTAAATATGACGGATGAGACACACAGCATCTATCACAGGACCCTCCCAGCCTGCCCAAGACTAGTTTAACTCTTGGTTCCCATGTGTGTGTGTGTTATCTGTGTGCATCTGTGTGTAAATGTATGCCTATTGGGAGCTCCTTTCCATTAAGAACTGCTCATTGTGCTTATTTCAGATTGAAGAAGAGCTGGCTGCCCTTCAGAAGGAACGCAGCGAGAGAATAAAGTACCTATTGGAAAGGCAAGAGCGAGAGATTGAAACTTTTGACATGGAGAGCCTCAGAATGGGATTTGGGAATTTGGTTACATTAGATTTTCCTAAGGAGGACTATAGATGAGATTAAATTTTTTTGCCATTTACAAAAAAAAAGAAAACAGAAAAAAATTCAGACCCTACAAAACCACATTCCCCATTTTAACGGGCGTTGCTCTCACTCTCTCTCTCTCTCTTACTCTTACTGACATCGTGTCGGACTAGTGCCTGTTTATTCTTACTCCATCAGGGGCCCCTTTCCTCCCCCCGTGTCAACTTTCAGTGCTGGCCAGAACGTGGCCATCTCTTCTATTCATAGTACACGTCACAGTATTGATGTGATTCAAAATGTTTCAGTGAAAACTTTGGAGACAGTTTTAACAAAACCAATACACCACCAACAACAAAAAAAGTGGATGTATGTTGCTTTAAGCAATCACTCATTACCACCAATCTGTAAAAGTAAAGCAAAAAATAATAATAATAATAAATGCCAAGGGGGAGAGAGACACAATATCCGCAGCCTTACACCTTAACTAGCTGCTGCATTATTTTATTTTATTTTATTTTTTGGTATTTATTCATCAGGAATTAAAAAAAATTTTATTAAAGATTGAAAATTTGATACATTTTACAGAACTAATTGTGATGTACATATCAGTGGTGACATATTATTACTTTTTTGGGGAATGGGGTGGGTGGGTGGGGTGAAGAGATCTTGTGATTTTTAAGAACCTGCTGGCAAGAGTTTAACTTGTCTTCAGCATATTCTGATTGTATCATAATCATTTTCTGCCGTTGCAGAGGATGTGAATACACTTAAGGAGCTCACAGAATCCCAGTAGCACAAATTGGGCTTTGGCAAATCGTGTATTTTGTGTATAGAAGGAATTTAAGGAGAGGTATTACTTATTTTCATATTGTATTTTAACTGTTTCTCTGATCAAATTTTTTTACTTCCTCCTCCTAGTCCTCCCCACCTCCCTCCTTTTCCAATTCAGTATTTGGAGTTTAGCACTGTCTCTCAATCAGATCATCTTGATCTTTTTTCTTTATTTCCCTGCCCCTCCCTAAATCCCATATCTTGGTCATAAATATTGCATTATTCACACTTTCAAACTGTGTATTTTCTTACAATAAAAAATGATGGAAAAAAAAAAGGCTTTACTTCTTTTGCATGCACTTTAAAAAAAAAAAAACATTTTTCAGGTTCCAAGGAAGAGCATGATAACTGTCAGAGCTTTTAATTATATTTGTAAATAAAAGTGTTCATCACATTGCCTTGCTGTGTTCTTGTAGCAGGAAGTTTCCTTTCTAGGTTCGTCAGTTCCTAACGCAGAAGGAGAGCTGCCCTCCAGAAACTGGAAGGCCTCAGGAAGAGCCATTCAAGATTTTCAGGTAAAGCTGTGTCTTCAAGTTCCTCTACAGAGCTGAAGATGCTGTTGCATTGTCTGCACACATGCACACACACACACACACACACACACACACCACACACACACACACTGTGCCAGTCGTAGGAGCATTTATTGCTGAGAAAATTTCAGTTCAGTCCAGTCGCTCAGTCATGTGACCCCATGGACTGCAGCACGCCAGTCTTCCCTGTCCATCACCAATTCCTGGAGCTTGTTCAAACTCATATCCATTGAGTCAGTGATGCCCTCCAAGCATCTCATTCTCTGTCATCCCCTTCTCCTCCCACCTTCAGTCTTTCCCAGCATCAGGGTCTTTTCAAATGAGTCAGTTCTTCACATCAGGTGGCCAAAGTATTGGAGTTTCAGCTTCAGCATCAGTCCTTCCAGTGAATATTCAGGACTCATTTCTTTTAGGATGGACTGGTTGGATCTCCTTGCAGTCCAAGGGACTCTCAAGAGTATTCTCCAACACCACAGTTCAAAAGCATCAATTCTTCGGCACTCAGCTTTCTTTATGGTCCAACTCTCACATCCATACATGACCACTGGAAAAACCATAGCCTTGACTAGACGGACCTTTGTTGACAAAGTAATGTCTCTGCTTTTTAATACGCTGTCTAGGTCATAGCTTTTCTTCCAAGGAGTGTCTTAATTTCACAGCTGCAATTACCATCTGCAGTGATTTTGGAGTCCAAAAAAATAGTCTGTTACTGCTTCCACTGTTTCCCCATCTATTTGTTATGAAGTGATGGGACCAGTTGCCATGATCTTAGATTTCTGAATGTTGAGCTTTAGGCCAACTTTTTCACTCTCCTCTTTCACTTTCATCAAGAGGCTCTTCAGTTCTTCTTTGCTTTCTGCCATAAGAGTGGTGTCATCTGCATATCTGAGGTTATTGATATTTCTCCCAGCAATCTTGATTCCAACTTGTGCTTCTTCCAGCCCAGCATTTCTCATGATGTACTCTACATATAAATTAAATAAGCAGGGTGACAATATACAGCCTTAACGTACTCCTTTCCATATTTGGAACCAGTCTGTTCCATGTCCAGTTGTAACTGTTGCTTCCTGACCTGCATATAGATTTCTCAAGAGGCAGGTCAGGTGGTCTGGTATTCCCATCTCCTTCAGAATTTTCCACAGTTTGTTGTGATCCACACAATCAAAGGCTTTGGCGTAGTCAATAAAGCAGAAATAGATGTTTTTCTGGAACTCTCTTGCTTTTTCAATGATCCAGCAGATTTTGGTAATTTGATCTCTGGTTCCTCTGCCTTTTCGAAAACCAGCTTGAACATCTGGAAGTTCACAGTTCACATATTGTTCAAGCCTGGCTTGTAGATTTTGAGCATTACTTTACTAGCGTGTGAGATGAGTGCAATTGTGCGGGAGTTTGAGAATTCTTTGGCATTGCCTTTCTTTGGTATTAGAATAAAAACACCTTTTCCAGTCCTGTGGCCACTATTGAGTTTTCCAAATTTGCTGCCACATTGAGTGCAGCACATTCACAGCATCATCTTCTAGGATTTGAAATGGCTCAACTGGAATTCCATCACCTCTACTAGCTTTGCAGTGATGCTTCCTAAGGCACACTTGACTTCACATTCCAGGATGTCTGGCTCTAGGTGAGTGATCACACCATCGTGATTATCTGGGTCATGAAGATCTTTTTTGTACAGTTCTTCTGTGTATTCTTGCCACCTCTTCTTAACATCTTCTGCTTCTGTTAGGTCCATACCATTTTTGTCCTTTATTGTGCCCATCTTTGCAAGAAATGTTCCCTTGCTATCTCTGATTTTGTTAAAGAGATTTCTAGTCTTTCCCATTCTATTGTTTTTCTCTATTTCTTTGCACTGATCACTGAGGAAGGTTTTCTTATCTCTCCTTGGTATTCTTTGGAACTCTGCACTCAAATGGATATATCTTTCCTTTTCTCCTTTGCTTTTCACTTCTCTTCTTTTTACAGCTGTTTGTAAGGCCTCCTCAGACAGCCATTTTTCTTTTTTGCATTTCTTTTTCTTGGGGTTGGTCTTGATTCCTGTCTCTGAGAGAAGTGAGGCACCTTAGAAGCAGGCTATGAAGAAGACATTATAACCAAATATTTGAAATGATCCCACTGTAATAGTAGATACCCCCTCCCCTCATAGCTTTTATTAGAATAATTTTATGCACGTGACAATGAAGGAGTAAAATATTAATATATAACTTCTAGGGTATGGTTTTTGGGGGTCAAGACAGTCTCAGTAAGATTTTATATTCTTAGGGTTCTGAGTCCTGGTCATTAAGAACTGATCTCTAGCATGAAGACTTAATCAATTTATTTATTTTTGGCTGTGCTGGGTCTTTGTTGCCACACGTGGGCTTTCTCTAGTTGCAGCAAGCAGGGGCTACTCTTGTACACGGGCTTCTTGCTGGGGTGGCTTTTCTTATTGTGGAGCATGGGCTCTAAGGTGTGCTGGCTCAGTAGTTGTGACTCAGGGGCTTAGTTGCTCACCAGGGATCAAACCCATATCCGTTGCATTGTCAGGCAGATTCTTAACCAATGGGCCACGAGGGAAGTCCATCCTTTAATAGTTAACATCTAGTTTCCTAAGCAGCTTAGGTCTTTAAAATTCCCATATTAAGCACATCAGAAAGTAATACTGGAAAAGGCTGTACTGCATTATGCTTACCATGTGACAGAACTCTATAAACATTTTGTAGATGAGAAAGTAAGCTCAGACCAGGGTAAATAGAGGCAATAGAGTCTGAATTGAGACCTGACTGATTTCTGAACCCACACTCCTGAGAATAGTCACACTGCCATGCAAAAGGACATTAAACTTCCTGTAGTTTATTTCATCCATTTCTGTCTGTAGTGAAAACCAGCTAGCTATCTTATGTAAAGGCCTTGTCTGTGAGATTATAGGTGTTGAGCTTTATAAAAATTCCCTCTCCACAGTTTTATCAATGATATGCCCCAAGGTGGAGTTAACAGAAAGAATGTGGGCTTATGATCCTAACACCTGGTACAGACTGTCTTCCAACTCCTTCTAGCACCTTAGGCAGTAAGAATAGACAGGGACCAGAATAGTAGTTAGAAGAGGTATAAAAGTACTGGGGATGGGAGCAGAGAGCCAGTGTCTGGTATTATTTCAGCATATACTAAACTCCCCCGAGTTAATTATTATAGGTTTGTCATAAATATAAGAGCTGCTTCCCTTTGGTTTGCAACTATTCATTGAATATTTACTGAGTACCTTGCATGTCAGGTGCAATGCCAGATGCTTAAGCTCTGTCAATGTATCTTAACCTTAAAGATCCTCACCCAAATGAGGCTTACATTAGAGGTAGGAGGAAAATGATGACACATAAGAATTACAATTTTAAATGATCTTAAATAGAAGTTAAGTGCTATAGATAAAGGAAAGAGGAAGGGGGGTCAGAAGTGCCAGGATCAGCATACATTCAGCTCATTAATTCAAGAAATATTTATTGAGCATCTACTGTGTGCCTGGGGATGTAGCAATAAGTATGATGGATGGGGTCTGCTCATGGTTTAAATCTCCACTGAAAAGTAAATAAGCATGGAGTAATTTAAATCAATAGTGGACAAGGACAGGTGCAACCAGGAGTTTAAAGGAAAAATTACAGTCATAGGGAATATCAGAGAATACTTACCATTGATGTCTAA